CACAGATACCAAGTCCAAGGAGTTATACAGTTCTAACTAAATGCAATTATTAAAAGCAATAAGTAAACGACACCAGGGATTTTTATAGTGGTTCAAGGAACAACTCGTTCCTCTAATCCACTGTTCCACTAAGCTGTAAAAACTGCCGTTTACAAAGCCTTAGTCCTAGTACTTAAGAAGCACTCCACGTCTTCTTCAAGCCTAGATGTGTCCTGGGATGCACTGCCTGGCTTCCTTTAACACTGGTCCTTTCACTGAGTTTCCTTGAAGTATCACCACTTCACTACTCCAGTTACTTGGACGTCCTTCTTGTAGCAAGAAGAGTTTCTGTTGAAACTGGGGTTCCTCCAACTAGCTTCGTTACAAAAGATTTGTATGTGATGAGCTTGAAGAGTTGAAGAACACTTGGAACTTTGCTTGAGTTGGAAAGAGTATTTTTCCAACTTCTGCCTTCTCTTGTAGAGGATAATGAGTTTGAATCTCAAGGAGGCTCTTTGCTTTTCAGAGTTTGAATATCTTGCTTGTGGTTAGCAAAAGTTGCAATGTAATCTTGGCATGGGGCCAATCATCTTTTCCGTTACTATTTTGGGATAAAGTATTCCTGACATTGCGGCCAATCATCTGCAATTACTCTACGTAGCATGGGGTGCATTAAATGAGCATTTAATGCATGCACTGTAGCTTTTCCGTTTCATACTCCTAGCCGTTGAAGGAATCTTTTAGTTGACTTCCTGGTTCTTTGAAAATCTTCTAAGTGTCAGACCTTCTGGTGTCTTTGTCTGAGAGTAGAACAGAGGAGGCCTGGAGCACTTCTGTTGGGAGTATCCAACAGAGACCCAGAAGGGTTTCTGTCAGAGTCAAGACTAACAGAGATCCTGAGGACTTCTGTTCTGGAGCAGAGAACCAAAGGTCCTCTGTTTCAATAATGTCTTAAAAGGCACTTCTGCTCTTGAAGCCCTTCTGTTCTTGAAGCCCTTCTGCTCTTGAAGGTCTTCTGTCAAGTCGAATACTTCTAAGAATTTTACAAAGGAAAATTCTAATACATAATTTCTAAAGGGGTACTATAAAGTCCTAATTAATCTAGCATCATCAAAATCTAATTACAATTATTCCTTACAAATCTCTAATCTCCATTCTCCAATCTCCATCTTCATCTCCATCTATTGTAGAATTATTATATCTACCATTTTTAAGATGGAAAGTCAAGATGCCGTTATACGGTATAATTTTGATAAGCAGAAGGACCCAAAGACCGGGGTGTGGTACGCAATTTGCAAATGGTGCGGGAAAAAATGTAGTATGGGGGTTTCAGGCGGATACGGGATGACAATGAAACATATTAAGTCATGTGACAACGCCAAAGGATCGGGAGGTGCGGGAAGTTCCGATTGATTACAATTTACAAAATGTATGTCTCTTGAAGTTTGTTTTAATTTTCAAATGTAGTTCCTATTTCATTTCAAATAAATGCACTTGAAGTTTGTTTTTAATACTTGTATAAAACTATAAAGTATAAATTAAAAAAATTACTTTAACCGGCCCAGCCCGGCCCGACGGGTGGCCCGACCCGTGACCCGGGCGGGTGGCCCGGCCCGAACTGGACCCGTACAACCCTCGGGCCGGTCCCAGGTCCATGAGATACAAACCGGCGGCCCGGGCCGGGCCCGACCCGGCCCGAGTCCACCTCTAGTTTCGCCCTATATAAACATTTTGTGATAAATTTATACTCCCTCCGTTCCATTGGACTTTGCCAACTTTCCCTTTTTGGTTGTCCCAAAAAACTTTGTCACTTTCCAATTAAAGCAACTAATTTGTGGTTCTGCACATTTTTCTCTCTTCAACACAAATTTCAACCACACAGTTTTTACTTTTTTTATTTCTCACCTACTTTGCACTTGGCAAAGTTCACCATGACGGAGGTATAATAATATATATACTCCCTCCGTCCCACTAACAATGAGACAAGAGACAGTGACACGAAAACCAACAAAAAATGTTTTATGTGGTTGATATTGAATTGATAAAGTATGAAGGGAAAATCACACTTTTGGTCCCCCAATTAGCCACTATATTGAAATCCCAGACCTGTGTTTCTGCTTTTTTAAATGTCACCCCCGATTTGTCAAAATTGTTTTAAATGTCACCGTGCTGTTAAAAATCTTACAAACTCCGTCTGGCTTTCCATTTTTTCAAGGGTAAACATCTAATTTCACATCCTTATATGTTTAAATCCCTAAATCGAGTAATAGTCAACCCTTTATCACGCTTATCAGGCCAAATTGAAATGCTTTGCTTAAGCCTTTGCTCTGAAGTCTTTTCCGCCAACTTTCCGTTGGACATGGCGTTCGAATATTGAAGCCAAGATTTCCGTTTGAAGGTCGAAGCTATGACGGAGGAAAGATGACCAGTCGAAGAGAAAATGGGTCAAATTCGACCCCAAAGTGTAAGTACACAAACCAAACTTCATTTTTTGAATAAACAAAAGAAGAACAACAAAGGCAAGAATGAAAAATATGCACGTACATGAAAACGAAGAACTAACCCTAAATCATATGACAATGGTGGCACTTCTTGAAAAATCCAAACGACTCAAGAACGGACGAAAGGAAGAGAGCTTCCCAAGCAAATGGCGTGTACTTCACTTGAATTATACAAAGAAAGTTTTGTTATACTCGATTTAGGGATTTAAACGTATAAGGACGCGAAGTTACATGTTTACCCCTGAAAAAACGGAAAGCCAGACAGAGTTTGTAGGATTTATAACGGCCGGGGTGACATTTAAAACAATTCTTACAAATCGGGGGTAACATTTAAAAAATAGAAACACGGTTCTGGGATTTCAATGTGATGACTAATTGGGGGACCAAATTTGTTATGAGATAATCTTAGTGGACGGACCGGGACAATCATAGCGGGGCGGAGGGAGTAATATATATAGGTATTTTTGGAAGTTCTTTGGGTCACAGGACCCATGGGACCATTAATGGGCCCACCACTGCTACTGAGTAAGCCCACTGAACAATGCGTAGTATCTTGTGTATTGTCAATAAGGTGGTAGCAGGTTTCAATATCATGACCAAAACGATTGCAATGCGGACATACTGAGCAGTCAGGACCATCATGAGAGTCCTTTGCAGACGGGCTCGAGCGAGACGCCCGACCAACAGCATGGCGCTTGGTAGCAAACGCCTGAATTTTATCATGATGATTGTCAGGTAGGGGTGAGAAATCAGGTACAGTCGTACATGAACCGGGGTTGAGCTGAGTAATACATGTTCAGAGTGGGTTAGGGTCGGGTCTTAAAAGTTTAGGAACCGAACGAGTCTTAAAAATTAAAATGAGTGACTTTGAACATCTACTTCGCTTATTTTAAGCAGCTTTAACCGAAAAACTAGAAGCAGGGAGAGCGATGCTTTTAAATGCTTTTCACAAAAAACACTTCTTCGGTAAACACTTTAACTTTAAATTTTCAAAACTCACTTTTCTTTTTAAACACTACCAACATTTATTATTAATCGCTTTTCATATACTCCTGTCTCTAAATAAACTTAAACTTCTCACTTTCCTTTTTTGAGGCATCTTAATAAAATATCTTTTCCTTCTTTAGTAAACAAGTTTATACCAATTTAGTCTACTATCCTTAAATAATATGACATCACAATGCAAAATGTGCAAAAAATGTCTGTTGAGTTTAATCCAACACGATATAATAAACATAGATATAATTCGGTATGAACAAGCCATTTTTACATGGAAACCCGAAAGGGAGAAAACCACGGGACTTTTTAGGCTAATGTCCAAGCCCTCTCATTTCATTAATGCTCTCCTCACCATTACAATATACAAGCTCCCATAATGGAGTCTTTTAGCTAGTCTAGAGAGGAAGGGAGGAGAAGAAGGGAAGGGATCCTCAATTGGGAAGCAAAGCTTCCTATTTATCGAGAATTGGGGGGGGGGGGGGGGGGGGGGTGCAAACCACCCTAACGAGCCAAGTGGGCCCCAAAGGGCCAAAACATGCATGAAGGGGTCTCACTGATTGGGCTCTGTACTGGGTAATGTCTTGGGCTCCTGAACAGTGGTAGGTCGGGATAATATACCTCAACAATGTCAAAGTGTCAAAATAATGTACTTTATAGTAAAATATATTCTTTAAAAAAATTATTTCCTTAATATGAGTGCAAGTCAAAGTGGAAATTTTAAATAGGGGTAAAAAGAGTAATTTTTAAAAAAATGCCTTTTTAAAAGGCGAAATTCATAAGAATAATCTTTACTTTACGAGTTTACGAGATTCTATAATCACAATTCATATTTAGAAGTTGTTCTTTACACCTAATCTGAATGTTTTTTATATGAATTTTTAAGTTCTGATCTGATCTGAATTTTTACACTGCGATGTACTGGATAACCCCTCCTCCAATATGGACTTGGTCCATGTCTATTAGCATCACATTTTAATTTAGTAATAATTACTAATTTATTAATAAAATACTTTATTAATAAAATAAGGATAATTGATAAATATATAGAATGATTTTAAAACATTGCATTTTAATATAGTATCACATTTTAGAATGCTTTTACTTGGACTTATTTTAGTTCAAGATCATACTAGATTAGATCGGACAAGACTTTTTAACATACCAGATCATACCAGACCAAACTTCTATAATTATAAAACAAATAAAGACTAGACATCTTCTAACAAGACTAGACCAGATCAAATTAGACTAAAAAAATCCAGTCCTAAAACATCCCTATATACCAAGAAATATAGTTATATTTGTATACATAAATTTTAGGAAAAGTATATTTAGTTTATCAGTCAGTTTAAAAGTTTAATAGGCCTAAAAATGAGTCACATGAAGAGATAGTTTCAAACTTTCAATAGGTCCAAGCAATTATTCACAGCGAGAAGCCCAATCCATGCCCCTTTTTTTGAAAGGACCAATCCATGCCATGTTATTAAGCAAAAGTTATTTTTGATAAAATAAAATAAAATAAATGGCTATAAAAACGAAGTAGGTGAGATCAGCAACAGAACGTCGTCGATAAGATACGCTGTCATCTGGTTTCTCTTGCAGCTCCCCCTCTCCTTCGAGGGTTTCTTTTCTTTTTCTTCTTTTTATTTTCTGTTTTTCCTTCAAATTTTTTATCTTTTTTTTGGGTTTGATTGTTTTCCTTTCCCCCCCTCTTTCCCCTCCTTTTCAAACCCTAAATTGTCCATCAATCTCTCTTTTATCTCATTTTATCTACATATATACACGCACTCCATACGCCTATATATTTTCAAAGAAAGGGAGAAGATGCAGCATAGGCTGAAACAGCAACAAGCATTGATGCAGCAATCTCTTTACCATCCCGGAATTCTCGCCCCTCAGCAGGTATTTTTACAATTAATTGGCATTCAATTTTATATCATTCATTTGTTTGATTTTGTGCCGGTATTGACATTCTGGTATGGGAAAATTAGTGTTTTAGCTGCTGATTCATTCTATATTAGTAAGTATTGGATTGATTAATGGCAGTTGGGGAAAAATGTTTTCTTTTTGGAAGTTTAATTCACGTGAATGGAGAGGTTCACTTCATGGATAAGGAGCTGAATGGGATGTCATGTACTAAGAAAGTCATCAAATCAATAAAAAGTTATGAAATCTTACCAAATTCATCATTAATCAAACTCACGACACATTTACTCTGTACCACACGCCCATTTCAGAAGTGGTCAATACTTCATTTTTATAATTATTTTTTTTGAATGTTAAAAGAAATCAGTTAATTTTCAATGTATTTACTGAATGGGATTCTTGAAGGGCTTCAAGCAAAATTTGAAAAAGTAGACCAAGTAAGGCTGGGTATGTATTGTAAAGATGAAGTGAAATTCTCTATCTCTTATGTTTATGTAGAATATGCCCTAATTTGTTGTCTACTATTCCACTTCCAAACCATCTCAGTGATTTTCATGGTCTTTGGATCATTACTCTGTCAAAGTTTTGATTTTACTTGTAATCTGGGAAGGATGAATGATCCCATGTTTGTGCTCCTTTGATTTTACTGCTTGGTAGTTCCTTGAAACTGTCGATTTAGGAACACAGACTACAGAGTATAATACTATAATCTTGTATAGCAAAATGTCATCACTTCCCCAATATAAACTACCTTTTAAAGTTTATGATGATGATCAGTGGCGGAGCCAGATTTGGTAAGTTTGTTACTGGGGCTTAAAATTTTGCTATATTTGTTACTGCCTATAAATATTTTTACATATGTATATACTTCACATTTTTTTCTTGGGGGTCAGCCCCCCCCCCCCCCCCCTCACAATTGTAGAGTAATTCTAATCCATGTTTATAGTTTGTTTTCTTGTAACTTTTCTCGCTTTTTGATTGCTGAGTAAGTGATTATGCATCTGCTACAGTTCTCCCAATCGGCTATTGAATCGTTCAATCGTTGAATGTGTCATTATTCATTAGCTATTGTTCTTTTCTCAGCTGTATTTTAGGTTTATCTCTATTTGGTATATACATTGTTTCAAATTGCGCAATGCAATGGCGCAATGAGGCATGCCTCAGGTGATTTCTATAGCAAGGCGCATAATTGTATGGCTAAAGGCGGAAGTGTAGAAACATGCGCTATATGGCGCAGAGGCGTACGCTTTCTGCGATGCGCAACAAGGCGTCATGAGGCGACCACCTTAGAAGTTTAGGTAGATACGTGGGCCGATAGGGCCCACTTTTTTACTAGCCATAGCGAGCGTGTATGCTATTCCCTACTCTTGAATTGGTTGCCGACCTGTGTTTCTGCTGCACCCTTCATCTGCGCCTGTCTATCTATGATCTATCCTTCTCGTCGCTCTGCATTGTTCTAATTTGTGTCCGCCTGTCCCCCAGTTTGTGTCGGCATGCTTAAGTAGGGAGACGAGATTATATACATACTTTGAGTGGGTTCCAAAGTATCCTTCTGGACTTCAAATATATGGTTGGTAATATCTTTTTGGTGTCTCTTGAGAGGATTATTAGATTATATACTCCCTACAAATATACGGAGTATATTATTTTGAGTGTATTCCAGCTAGATTCCATTTTTTTTAGTTTAATGCTTGTCTAGGCTTAAAATTACTTCTTGCCACGAAATTTTCTATGTTTTCTCTATTTTAGGCCTTGTTTTTATTTGTTTATATTCCAAATTTTCCTTTATTCTTAGTGGAGTTCTATTTTTCATATAATTTGAATTTTTGTTTCAAGTATAATCGTATATATACTTTAATTTAGATTATATTGATATATTAAAGAATGTTTAAATATGACCATTAGCAATTCTCTTTTGCATACAACAATAGAAAACTTAGAATGAACAATTTCTATGATGTCATTTTCAACTCATGATTTCCATTATTGTTAGTTTGGTAATTAAATATGTTATTTTGTATGAATTTTTATTTCTTATTAGTTATAATTTTTTATTTTTTTAATTTTTTTCTTCTATGCATTAAGATTTTTGCTTTAGCCGTATGCCTCAATGTGCAACGAGGCTTAGGCAATACACCTTGGGAAAAAATGCCTCATCTCCGCAATGCACAATTTTGAACATTGGGTATATACAAGGTTTGAAATTGTGTTTTGCATATTTGTGGCTTACATCGAGGCATATGCTTGAGGCGTAATATATAGGGTCTGGTTCCAATAAAAAGTGGACTTTTGATTGTCTGAAGTGTACTATTGCATTTGTGTGATTTTCGTCATCCACTTTTGATCATTTAGGGTACACTAGTGCACACAATTGCACACAGGAAGTTCACTTCTGCAAAGAAGAAAAACTTTGATTTATTTACAAAAATCCAACCGCGTTTTGAATCCATTTTAATGCTTTTTTGACATATTTAAAGCCATTAGATTTTAGATCCAATGCACCAGATTTGTTCTTTCTTTTCATGGGATGAAGACTTCTTATTTGATCCAAAATCTATATATATGTGTGTTGTATGTATTTATGTATATAAACAAAAAATAAAACAAAATATTCATAAAAAATCATCACATGTTATAATGTGATATTAAAACACATTACAATGAGGCCATAATCCTAGCAAAATAATAAATTCAAGGTTCAAACCACAACATAGTAAAATTTCTGAACTGTTCACCAAATTAAAATTCGTAACATATTAAAGTTTAGGTTTATTAGTCTCTGATGATTGAGAATTTGAATCATCACTAGCTAGTGTTTTTTTGCATGTCACTATCTAGCAGTTTTAAATAGGGATCATAACTATGGGACATATTAATTGTTAATTATAAACGATAAATTGTGACTCTGTGGGTCCAAATAATACCCTTACACCCTGACCTCCTATTGTTTATGGCCCCAGTACTTTATTACACACTCCTTCCGTCCCTTAAAACTTGGTCAAGTTTGACTACCACAAGGAATATTAAAACAAAAATTGTGTGGTTGGGGTGTGTGCAGAGGAGAGAGAAATAATAATAACCACAAATTAATTAATTAATTACTTAATTAATTTAATGGGAAAGATGTCAAAGTTATAAGGGGTGGAGGAAGTATGTATAATTGCGTACACCTCACTAAGCCACACTCCAAGCACTACAGGCAATGCCCTTTTATGCCTTCCAAGAATTAGCTTAGGTGCGTCATAAGGCTCAATTGCATTGCGCAATTACAAACAATGGGTATATAAGATATCATTATCTTAGTTTTCAATGATTCAGAGTTGATTTCTGCATGTACCAGGTTGGTGCTATAAATTAAGGAGTCTGCCTAATAGTTATCTATCTAATTGAATGTGTATCCCCCCTCTCCCTTCTTGTGACTTCGAAATCTATTTGCAGATAGAGCCTATCTTGAGCGGGAATCTGCCCCCTGGTTTTGATACAAGTGCTTGTCGCAGTGTGTGAGTGCCTTAATTTTTTTCTATATATGTGATTCAGATTGATTAACTATTCTTCAATTTTTATTATCTACCATTCATTCCTGGTCCTTGTATATTAGGATTCTAAAACTACATTATCTTCAATAGATTTCATGGTTTATTGGGAAAGCATAACTATTCATCGATTCATTATTTAATTTTTAAAATATAAACATGAAAGGTTATTTAGAAAACTGAAAATATTTTCTGCCATGCTCGTTTGCATTCATTTATTCTTTGTTTCTCATATGTGCTACATATATAGATTAAGATTTTCCCCATATATATGCTCTGTATGCATGAATATGTGTGCCTGAGAAGCCAATAAGTCATGGTTTCAATTTAAATTCTCCAATCTTCATCCATTGGCGTTGAATCTTAAGTCGTGGTGTCATTGAATGCAGTTATGTTGGAAATATCCATCCTCAGGTGACAGAACTCCTTCTCCAAGAGGTTTTCTCTAGTACTGGTCTTCTTGAAGGATGCAAGCTTATAAGAAAAGAGAAGGTCTTGCTCTAGATTCCTATTTCTTTTACTTATTTGCCAAGCTCTAGACCATTCAAAATATTACGGTCATTATTTTCTACAATGCATAGCTCATGCATGTATGCATTGTTGTTATATGATCCCTAAGGCTTTCCAAAAAGAAAAATTAAAAAATAGGATAGCTATCCTAATGTCAAATAGCAAGTCTTTAAAAACTTTGTTGCTTGGTATAACCGTGCCTTAAATGTGGATTGTGTTATAACTAATTTTGGGTAAATCACTAATGGGTAAAGCACTAATTGCTGTACAGTCATCATATGGTTTTGTGGATTACTATGATCGTAATGCTGCTGCCCTTGCTATTCTGAGTCTAAATGGAAGACAATTGTAAGTGCATATGATCTTTAAGTTATAAGAACAATATTGCTTCTGAGCATTCCTGGTTCTCTTCCTAATCTTTTAGATTTCAGGTTTGGGCAGCCTATAAAAGTTAATTGGGCATATGCTAGTGCTCAGAGAGAAGATACTTCAAGTATGCACTATCTTGTGGATTTGAATATGGTCTCATTATATCCTCCTCATCTTTTATAAAATGTCTCTCTTTTCTTTCTTTAATGGTATACTTGTTTTTTAGGCCACTTCAACATTTTTGTGGGGGATCTTAGCCCAGAGGTTACAGATGCCACCTTGTATGCATGTTTTTCTGTCTATCGCAGTTGCTCGTAAGTTCTGTTATGATAATTTCATAATTCTAAACAACCCAAAATCCCTAATTCTTCACTTGGAACGAAATGATATTGTAAACACTATCTTCATTTTGGGTGATGCAGAGATGCAAGGGTGATGTGGGACCAGAAGTCTGGCCGCTCAAGAGGGTTTGGGTTCGTTTCTTTCCGTGATCAGCAGGCATAAATGCATAATTTCCTCCACTTCTATAATATTTTGTGTTTGATTTTAATATTTCTGGCCTAACCTTATTTTTTGTCCTCTCCAGGATGCACAAAGTGCAATAAATGAATTAAATGGTGAGGATCATTTTCTATTTATTGAACATTTTTATTTTGTTCATTGTTATTCTTGTTAAGCAGTAAAGTTGTGTTGTCATTTTCTAGCTGTTAGTTGCAATGTTCTTTTGAATCTCTCCCAAATTCTTTAAGGGTACGTTTGGAACTCCGTAAATGCTAGGAAAAGAAGACAATGAGGAGGATATAGTGGGGATTTTGTAAGGGAAATAAATGTAAGGGAAACTAAGCATTTGTTCAGACTCGAGTTTTTTTTCTCTCCAGACCCACTTCATGTATCTAATCTTTTGTATACTGTTTTACTAAGAATTAAACATGTTTCTTTTTCCTTAGCGTTCTCTGTGGTAAAACCAAAACAAGAATTTATTTTTCTTTGTGTTGTCTTCCTTTTCCTATCCTAATATTGAAAAGCGCAGGAAAGTGGCTTGGAAGTAGACAAATTCGGTGCAATTGGGCAACAAAAGGTGCTGGTTCAAGTGATGACAAACAGATGCCCGATGCTAAAAGTGTTGCGGAAATGACTAATGGCACATCAGGTCAAGTCTAAATCAGCATTCTGTGTCTATCCATCATAGATCTGATACAGCAGCATTTTCAGTAGAAATAACATCGGTCATGGTTTTAATGATGTTAGCTTGTTGGTGGATGAGAGAGGCCCAGATATATCACATTTAGGCATTTTGGTATAATAATAAATAGTGTTGCTATGACAGCCTCCTGTGCAGATTAAGTGAAGTTTAAGTAGATTTCCATTTTGTTCCAGCTTAGGCCTGAAATACTTTATGCTCACTGTGCAGATGATGGTGCAGAAAACATAAATGAAGATGCACCAGAAAACAATCTTCAATATACAACTGTTTATGTTGGCAATCTTGCTCCTGAAGTGAGTATTTGTTGCAAATCACTGTTTCTTTGGGAGGTTTCGGAGGGATGGGGTGGATTGATTTGTGTTTTTGCTGCGTTTTTCCTGATTCATCTGTATTTTTAGCTTTAGACTACAAAGTAATACAGAATATTAGTTAAATCATGTACTTCTACATAGTTTTCCATCTTTAATTTCTTTCGACCATCCAAAAGTTAAGAATAAATTAATAAAACAAATATCACACTTCAAATATTTTCATTGTTTCACCCTTTATTTATTTTCAAGCTAGTTCACTTTGGCCTCTTCTACTCCAGGATGTTTAATCAGAGTAATAAAAATGATGGATATAAGCTTTTACTTTTTCTCCATCCTCTGTTTCTTAACGTGCTACTCCCCTGAGAGGCTGAGACATTTCTACACTTGGAGATGAAATAGAAAAACATCTATGAATTATATATTTTTTGTCTTTTTGATACTCTCTTTATATGATTACCTTATTGTTATGATTGATAAAATGATAATTCACAGGTTACTTCTGTTGATCTTCACCGCCTCTTCCATTCTCTTGGTGCTGGAGTCATTGAAGATGTCCGTGTTCAACGTGACAAGGGTTTTGGGTTTGTAAGGTATAGCAACCATGCTGAAGCTGCTCGAGGAATTCAACAGGGGAATGCCCGAATTCTTTTTGGCAAACCCATCAAGGTACTCCTACTTCTTACTTATTATGAGCAGTAGTGAGCATTGTACTTGTTTGCCCTTATAGCTTAGTGAATATAGGAGATTAAGTACTTTCAAAAACATATGACGAGTCAAACAATAAAGTGATTCAGAGGACTAAAATAAAGTTGGGTATTTAGACCTATCTCTCCGGAGATTTGATCAAATTACGGTGATTGGACTTTGCAGTTCCCAAATGTACAAAAGAACTCTTTGACCAGTCAATCTTTTGGCGAATGTCCCAAGACTAATAGTTATCATGATTCCTGATAACCACAGTTCATAGGGCATTAGTTAAAACTATAGGTGTGAAGATTTTAAATTTTTAGTGGATTATCATGTATGGTTGCATTTCAAAATCATTAGTAAGTGTTATCCCCCATCTCCCAATACGAACCTTTCATTATTTACGTGACCTTCAAGAGTTGTGCTTAACATTTTCCCTGGTTATAGTTTATCATCTTTATATGTTATGTCCAGAATATCTGTGTTTTTAAGTTTTTTCTTTAATTATTCAAAAACCTTGGAGTCATTTGGTAGCTTGACCAAATCTTACAATAACGTTAGATAAATAAAAAAAGGCGTTTTTCTTAAAAGAAAAGGCGTTTTTCATAGCACCGGATATCAGGTTTTAAAACTCATTTTGTACCAAGCAAACTACAATTTCCCAACCCCACTTACACTCCCACAACACAAGAAATAAAAGTGTAAATTGTGAGCATGTTAAATCAGATGTCTCTTGTTTGAGCCTACATTACTACTGTTTTCTTAACCCCACCCACCTGCACACAATAATTTTTAGCATGGTTTTTGAATGTTTCCGTGCTTTCTTTGTTTGGTGTGTACACTAGAATCTCTATCATGGTAGGTCATGAGACGAAAATAGTATGTTGTCACTGTTCACCCATTAATGAGTTTAATAATGTATTTTTATTTGTCCTTATCATGATTCATTAGTCTCTTTTGATTTTCCTCTTCACTCATCAATAATGTTAACATTGTTTTCACTCGCACAGTCGCATTTCATCTCCCAATTCATTGGGAATTGCCAGAGTAGAACTTTCAGCCTCTTTTCTAAAAAGGAAATTGGTATTTGCTTCTCATGATTAAATAAATATTTTACTTTCAACACATGTTTACGGGGAATCGGAGAATGCACCTCACTTTTTTTATCAAAATTTGAGCATCCTTATTATAAATAATCATTATTTGCACCTCAAATTTGAGAATTTGCATCCTATTTTTTCTTCCAAATTGAAGTTTGCACCACATATCATTAAAAGAATTTTTACCGGGAAAATTGAAGTTTGCACTGTTGTTTTAATCCACATTCGAGTCCTATTTCCAAAATCATTAATATGTAAACCCTAAAATTTATAGTTTACACTATCGTTTTCTTCTGTATTAGATTTGCACCCCATCCTAAACAATTTTTCCAACTTCACGGTGGAAACCCAAATTTAGATGAATAATAAGTAATAACAATTGGGTTGCAAACTCTCAACATGAGGTGCAAATATGGATGATTCGATGCAAACTTCCATATTTCCATCAATAAAACATGAGGTGCAAGGTCATATATTTAGGCAAACATTGTCTTCTTACACTGTCATGGATTTAGAATGATGCTTAATTTACCAGCTAAATGGAGCAGTGAAAATGTAATTGTGTATGTTATAGAATTGTTGTGGAATGTATTGCAGTGCTCATGGGGAAGTAAGCCGACGATGCCCGGAACTAGCTCGACCCCACTGCCGCCACCAGCGGTACACATTCCTGCTGATGTTACAGCAACCAATTCCCTTGCAGCTTATGAGATGCAGCTTGCTTTGAGCAAAATGGGCAGTGCACAAGCTGCTGCTCTCATGCACCATCATCATGGTCACCGCATCGGTGCTGCTAATCCGGCCATGTATGATGGTGGATATGCCACCCAACCACATATGTACTATCAGTAATAATAACTCCCAACCATCACCGGACTGCTGGCCGTTATTGTCCGATGGAGTTGATGTTATAATTATAGGATTTATTTTTATTATATAGGCTTCTCGTTTTTTCAGTCTTTAGTTTTGAGAACTGTATTTCCCTTGCCTGTTATTATGTATAATCTGAAGCATGTATGGATTTCAATTTGATACTTTGGGGATTATTTTACTTGAATGGTATTTTCACAAGGATGTCTAGTCACTGAGCATCAGACAATCAGACATCAGTGTAACTTCTTTGTTTCGATATAAGGCCTCATATTTGAGGTGAAATCCTGTAATAAATAAATTATGATGAATAGCAAAAGCTGATAGCCTGATATATATTGTAGTAATCTTGAAAATTTCCTACCTTTTAGTCAATTAGTTGTATATAGTAATATTGTGCTGAGAATATATTATTTATAAAATACTAAATTTTAATCAATATCGTAATTCATAAAGATTTGCGGATTGCGTAAACTTTTTTATTGTTGTGCGCTTACAAGTTAAGGACTTAAGGACCAAGGATAAACCTGAAGGCACGCTTCATTTAAATTTGATCTTACCCCATTGGTAGGCTTGGACTCGGGCCCAGGCCTAGGCTTGGTCGGGTCTCTGGGTTATTACAGGTGGGCCCGGGACTGACCTGGGTAGCCACCGGGTCTGAGTTCGGGCTGGGCCTCTTTTTTATTTTTTTTTCCCTTTTCCTAATTAACACCCCTACCACCTCAGCCCCGCCGCCCTAAATCACCCCCAAATGGCCCAAAATACCCAGCCCAACCCAAAAAGCTAAAAAAAATTTACAAAAAAATAAAATAAAAAGCCTGGAATCAGTTCTAATTCTTTCCCTACTAGTAGTCCTTAATAGATCTTCCTTAAAATAAGCTATTCCATGAAAAGGGATGGACCGGTTCGGGCCTGGGCCCGGTCGGGCCTCGGTTCATGAAGGGGAGGCCCGGAATCGGCCCGGGTAACCCCCAGGTCTGGGCCGGACCGGGCTGGGCCTCGGTTCTATTTTTTTTTTTTTTTGGTTTTTCCTAGTTAACCCCCAACCCTCCCTCTCACCCCCAAACCAACCCTAACCACCTCAAATGGTCCAAAATACCCAGCCCAATCCAAAAACTTAAAAAAATTCAAAAAAAAAATTGGCCCGGGCCGCTTCACCTTTTGAAGTGCCTGAGCCTGAACCGCCATCCCACCGGGCCGGGTGGCCCGAACCGGCCAACCAACCTGTTCACCGGGCCGGGCCGGGCCCGCACAGTAGCGGGCCGGTCCGGTTCCAGGCCGGTTGGCCCGGCCCGAGTCCAACCCTAATTCCATCACAATTAGAATTGAGTAAATTTTCTAAATAGGAGTAAAAAAGTTTTGAAATTCCAAAATAGAAGTATCATGTTTTTTATTCCCTAAATAGGAGTGAATTTCTAGCAAGTTTGGCATTACTAGGCTTTTAAACATGACATCTTTTTCCAAACTTGCCAGATTACTCATATTCATGGAATAAAAAACATGATACTCCTATTTTGGAATTTCAAAACGTTTTTACTCCTATTTAGGGCAATTTCTAACTAGAATTCCTTATTACTCCGTATATTATTATACTACTACTCGGTAGACTATAATAAGTCCAAATTGAATGAGGGTTCCATCAAAATAAAATCTCATATTTAGTTTAAAGTGTTATAATTTTTATATTTGTGCTCTAATTGTTATAAAAAATATCAAAATTCACAACTTTTTATCATCTTTCATATGACACCAATTTTGAATATGTAAAAATAAAAAAATAAAAATTACTTTAAAAATAAATGTATTTTAAAGTGCTATATCTTTTTTATTGTACTCTGATTGTCACAAAAGATATTTCAAAATTCATAAATTTTATTATCTTTCATATGACATCAATGATGCATATATATAAATAATAAAAATTAATTCTATTAATGTTTGCAATCCAAGATCGTTTTTACAATGCACACAATTAATCAGGAATGATAACTTAGAATAAAACTGTACAAATCCCATCATTTTTATTTATTGTTTATTCTTTGCGTGAATAGCGTGAATGGTAAAAAATGATCATAAACTGTACAAATTAATAGATCTTCTATATATGCACATCAATGTTAGGAGTTTTGATATATTATTTGTAAGGGAAAAAGGGCAGATAAGGCCACGTACTAACACAAAAAGGTCAAATAAGGCCTTATTTATGAGACTCTGTCCGGCCTTCGCCATTTGAGTTGGTTCTCGCTGGAATTTTTTGATGAAATTTTTTGAGCATCTTATTCAGTAAGTCTAGTTTACTCATACCAAATTTAAGCTAAAACTTCAATCGCGAAGCCAATCAAATGAATTCTTGAAGATAATTGCGCAGTTAAAAGCGCAATTATCTTCAAGAATTCATTTGAATGCCTTCTCGATTAAATTTTTATCTGAAATTTGGTATGAGTAAACTAGACTTAATGAATAAGATGGTCAAAAAACTTAATCAAAAAATTCCATCGAGAACCACCCCAAATGGCGAAAGCCGGACAGAACCTCATAAATAAGGCCTTATTTGACCTTTTTTGGTTAGTACGTGGCCTTATTTGCCCCTTTTCCCTATTTGTAACAAACTCTAGAGTATAAATAAAAAAAAGTTATAACACCTTTAAGAAACAAATCTTATTTTAAAGTTTTAAATTATTTTTTATTTTTATATATTCAATATTGGTGTCATTAAAAGAAAACAAAAAGTTATGAATTTGGTATTTTTTTGTGACAATCGGAGTACAAATAAAAAAATTAACAGCACCTAGAAAAACAGTTGTTTTAAAGTGTTATTTTTTAGTTTTATATACACAATATCCATGTCATATGAAAGATAATAAAAAATTATTAATTTTGATATATTTTTTGTAATAAATGGAGTACAGATAAAAAAGTTATACTCCCTTTAAGATTATCCCATTTTTCGCTTTTCGGGAAATTCCACTAAAATTGTTTCATACCAAATTTGATAAAATTTGTGTTCTAAATCTTTTTTACTTTATTCTTAAAGTTTTTTTCCAAAACAATGCTAAGTAAAAAAATATTTACGAAATTAAGACCGAGTTAAAATTATTTACCAAAATACGTATCTAATCATGGTGAACCAAAGCAGCCAAATGGAGTGGCCACTTTGAAACCGCCAATGAGTTTGACCACTCTTGCATAGTTGCATAGGGATGGACCCAGTCGGTTTGAACTGACCTGGGAACCGGACCGGCCCGCTACTGTGCGGGCTCGGATGACTGGTTCCGGGCTCTAGCCCGGTTTGGGCGGGTTTGGTGGGTCGGGCCTTGGCCTTGGTTTTCATGAACCGGGCCAGTCTGTCCGGGCCGAGCCTGATTAATTTTTTTTTCAATTTTTTTGTTTTCCTTGGGTAGGGCTGGGGGCTGGGGGGGAGGGGGGAGGGGGTTAATTACAAAGCCAAAGAATTTACCTTGAACCGGGCCCGGACTGGCCCGATTTGGCCCGGACCCAGTATCAACCCGAACCGGTTCCGGGCCCAACATCCTGGAGAAAAAGCCCGGCTTAAACCGGTCCGGGCCCGGTCCATGCCTACTCTTGCATACGAAACACGGAGTAATAGGGACCAAGGCAACGATTATAAAAATCAATAACTGACTGTTTGATTTTAAAGAAAAAATGTGGTAGTTGTTTGGTAAAAAACTGACTGTTTGATTTAGTTCGGTTTGGTATACAAGCTGTTAAGACTAATTAATACTAAAAGTCACGGACTTTTTTAAGATGTTACTCCATGTAGCATCTCAAAAAAGATCTTTTAATTTTTGAAAAGAATTTAAAAATTGTCATGCCAAGCATATAAATAAAAGCTTTTAGACACTTTTTGAACAATACAAAAGCTAGTTACATGCTTGATAGATATGGTCATGAAAAGACCGTACATTGATTATGAGTATACTTTCATAGTCACAGTAATTTAAAATTCAAGCATAATTATAGTCTCTAAAAATTACCAAGTCAAGTATTCACTCCATATCTTTACTTTCTTCATATAATAGGAATTATTTCTTTATATAATATGAAATAATCCATATGGAGATTGGAAAATAAGAAGAATGTTTTATTAGCCTTCAATTTTTTAAAAAATTCATATATTCAATATTGATGTCAAATGAAAAATAATAAAAAATTGTGAATTTTGATACATGTTTTATAAAATGTGGAGCAAAAAAAAGTCATGGATGTTTAAAGAAAAAAGTGATTTTTAAATCATGCGGCCCATAATTGTTTTTTGTAATCGTTAACTTGTTCCATACTAGATTCTCACACGTGCGATTCACGACACAAAAACAAAGTACTCTGTTGATAGAGTATATCTAGAGAGAAGTGAGAGCTAGAGAGAGAAGTGCAATAATATGCTTCAATAGAATGAATTTGTAACCCCTATAACTACTCCCAAGGGGAGTATTTATAGAGAAAATTAGGGTTGGGCTCCCAAGCCTTGGGCTTGGGAGGCCCATTCACAACTGGACCGCTACTGGGCCGAATACAAAGCCACTAATGGGTTGTACAAATGAGTAAGTGTAAAATCCGATTCTGGGAGGTCTTCTTGGCCGACGAGGACGTGGCCGACGAGGGTACGGCCGACAAGGGCACGGCCGACGAGGGCACCCGGGTTCCTTGGACTCAGGACCATAATCCGAGTTGGCTCCTTTTCGGCCGACGGGGGCGTCTTGGCCGACGAGGGCGCCACTCTGTTGTCTTGTGCTTTCTGTTCTTCCGAGTATGTGGGTCCTGGGGCTCAGACCTATATACTCCATCATCTGTAATAGATATATGTTCTTATTTGTTAGTAAGGATTAAATTATTAAGTTACGTATAATAAAAGCATGACAATTGTAAAGACATAATATACGGAGGACAATAGTAGTGAGTATGTTTTGGAATAAGCAGAAATAAACAAATGTTATAATCAGATTTCTACAATCTACACATTTCGAAACACGTTCTTATAAACAACATTGGTAGTATGATCGGTTCGTTTTCAATCTTCAACGTAAATCAATATTTTCAAACTCTTACGAATTGTTACTCTTGATACTGCAACATACGATTGACCATGCATAATTACTAACTTTTATAATAAGAGACCAACATACGACAAATATTGACCTTAATTCTTATTTATATTCATCGCATAAGAGGTCATGATTGATTTAAATAAACTAGTTTAAATTTCTAGTTTACCCTCATAATAAATATATTCAATTTTAAATTGTAGTGGTCATGAACTTACACTTATATTAAATTTAGTCAAATTCACATACATGAGTTTAATTTGGAAAACATTGTTCGAACAATCTCTAAATAAATAATTAACTTCACAAGTAACAAACCCGCTCTTTCTCTCTAAGAGAGAAACCCTAGCATAGTGGCGACCGTCTCCACTAGATTTAGGGGTTGTTTTCTCCGCCTTCGTCTTTTACGAAGTGCGGCTTTCTTCCGCCATTCGTGAGGTTTCTTCTTTGACAGGCCACCACCGCCTATATGGCGGCCAAAGATTGTGCACCCCTGACAACAGGTGGAGAGTTTCGAGGATGTCGTTCATGATTGAGATCAAAAGGTAAAGGACGAAGCGTGAAGCTAGAGACTGGAACAAGTATGGATTCGAGGGCATCCGTGTTAGATGGCGACAAAGGAGGCTAGGTGGAGATCATGATGAATAAAAGGCAAAGAGAGGAAGAAACTACAGTACTGCTGGACCGTCCCCCTCCTGAGCCGCCGCCATGGAGTGCAGGAGAGTCTAGGATTTGGAAGCATCATTTTAATTTTACCGTTTGCTTGCTATTTATTTTTCATGATCAGACTGATTATTTTTCTATTGGTTACTTTTATTGTTGTAAGACTCTTGCATCAGGATTGAGTGATGGAGGTCTGCTTTAACCGTCGTTGGCTCATTTATGCCAATTATAGGATCAACGAGTCATATTGCTTTTTTGAAGGTGATTGATTATAAGTCTGGTTCGAAGGCTGGCGGTTTCTTGTGATTCTTTTGTCGTTTTACCCCCTATATGAATGTTGTGATATCAATTTATCCCCTTCTTCCAAAAAAACAATCTCTAAGTATTTTCAAATTCTTATATACTACTCCCTCCGTCCCGTTGGAATGTTCCCGATTTGACCTACACACATACTAGTATTAAGGAAATAAACTTACGGGGGTAAACTTTACTGTTTGACACTGTTTCGACACTGTTTCGACACTGTTTTACACTGTTTGACCCTGTTTTGATGTAGGATAACTTTCCATTTAGGGAAATGAGAACTTTCCAACGGGACATCCAAAAAAGGAAAGCGAGAACATTCCAACGGAACGGAGGGAGTAATAATCAACGTCAATAGTTATAACAATTAATAGCAATAATTACATTTCTAGTTTATAAATTCGGATAGTTTATCACTATAATGTAATAATCATATAACATATAAAAAGATAATACTCCATCCATTTCTTTCAATCATCTCATTATAGTATATACCTATCAAAACTATTTTTGAAAGTATGATCGAATAACCTAATTTAATATTTGTTTAAATAATCATTCCGTCTCGAGAAGAATATGGGTCGCTCATATCTCCGGTCTCTTTTTGAAGCATTCTAGATCCAATTACTATCTCTGAAACTTTTGATCATATCCTATGAATAGTTGATAATGTTTATTATTATTTGATACCTGAACCATATCAAATTAACATTGCCAAGACATGCCATGAGCGTTACACTAGTTATAATTAAAAAAGAATGAAAGAAGTATATATTAAAATTAAACATTTACAACATGGAATTAGTATAATTAAGAATGCAAAACTGTGAAATTGACAAAGACTCGTGCTTGGATATAAGGGTGGGAGAAAAGGTTGAGAAAAAAAAAAGATTTTTTAACTAGACTAAAACAACCTTTGAAGAATAAAAGTGTATAGTAATAAATGATTAAGCTTCTTTTTTTCTGAAGTTTCTTCGTACATGCGGGAAGATAAAGAATTGTTGCACCCAACTTTTTTTTCTAAGAGAAGAAGTGCTCAACTTTTTCACTTTCATTTCTTTCCCTACTAAAAAACGTTTTAAAATCCTATTCCATGTTTGCAAGGTTGACTAAGTCACTGTTAAAACGGGTCAAATTTTCGATAATTAAAAAATTAATAAGGTCATTATCAATAATGGTTGTTTCACCTAACTTTAAGATAGAAGCAATTTTCCATCTTTTGCTGATCTAGATTCTTATCTAAAATAATACATTCATTTAATTATATAGTAAAAAATGTACACATAAACAATATTTGTATTTGTCATTCGTGGGGTAGGGTATGGCCCACGTTGGACCCCCTCTATCAATGTATGGTCCTCATCTGCCTATTTTTTTTATAATCAATAATTAGTGTATTGTGTGTGTAGATTTAAATGGTTCACAAGTAGTAATTGTAAAATAAAATTGAGAGTTTTCAAATTTTGATGATATTTACTTGGATTGAAATTCAAAAAATGTATAGAATCTCATGTACCTTTATTTTGTACTTGGCTAAAGGGTCAAATAGGCTCATGTACCGGTCGTGCAAGCTCAACTAAATCTCTGAACTAAGAAAATGTTCAATTTGCATTCCGAATCGACAAAAAATGGTTTAAATTTCTTTTTTTACGCGTAAACAACCGGTCATTTTATTATTGTTTATGTTTTTTTTCGATTTATTGCAATTTTGACATTTTAATAGTTTAAGGGTGCGAATTAGATCTTTTTCACCGGTTGTTTATCTGTAAAAAATGAAATTTTGAATCTTTTTTTGCCGGTTCGGGGTGCGAATTGGACCTTTTTTAGTTCAGGGACTGAATTAAGCTTACACGATCGGTACATGAGTCTATTTGACCCTTTAACTTTTGTACTTTCACATATATTTCATATAATTTCATAAGAGTCTTATGACATCCCATAAAATTTCCCATTCAAATGACTATTCAACGTTTACTTTGCATATGATTGATTTATTTTGCAAACAAAAATACATTTTTTAACAATAGTTCTTCATGTACACGCATCCAGACTCACTTTTAGACATTAAGACGACCATTTCTAAAAAAAATTGAAAATTTTGCATTTTCTTAACGAATTGAGTCAATATTCACAAACAAAATAGGGAAGGATGTAGAGACGTGTAATCTCACTTTTACACATCAAACCAATTAAATCAAAGTTTCTTCAATTTAAAGATTTAATCAATTCAACAAATTTCAATTTTACAAATGAGTTCTAAATAAAAAAAATGTTGATCAAATTTTGTAACACTCCTTATAACACTCCCTATTACTCCTAAGTTTTTCTTTTGGCTGTTAATATTACTCATAAGTAAATATTCATTTTTGGGTATAATTTGCACAAAAGTGTAGATAAAAGAGAAAGTGGATCCCCTCATCTCCCATTAAAAGTACATATTTCTATTTCTAGTAATAATAATTTGTGACGAGTGGTTGTTTTCAACTTGCTTTTTTTTCGCACTTGGAGGATGATGTTGGAGAAGTTGGTCCAAAAAGGATAACTGCCAAAGAATATTGGTCACTTCCACTCTTTATTTCAAGACGAAAAACGAAAGAAAGAAAGAAAGAAAAACCCATTTTCCTTCAGAAAAAATCTCCAATTCAACCCCCCATAATATTGGTTACTTCCACCCTTTTTCACATTTTTGGGAAAAAACTCAGAGAAGACGATAAAGTTTCTATTCCCAAACACGCCCCAAATTCCTTGGGTGGACCGAAAGAGTCATACTCCATCTTTGATTCTTTGTCTGAATGCTTAAGAAATTATAGAAAAGATAATTGTATTTATTTGTAAGTATAACTGATCGGATGTTTTTTTTTTTAAATTTTGGAATTAACGCAATATTAACATCTCAAGAACGTGTTTGGTTGAAGAAAATGAAGCAATTATGCAAGAAAAAATGGACAAAAAATCAAAAATTTCATTACATGAGAACATAAAAAGAAAAGAAGATCCCTTATCATCGCATTTCTCAGGCGTGTATAGAAGTATTCCGAAGTTATACTTTATATACCCATCACCCCCATATACATCTCTACAGTAATATTAATTTATAACAATATTACATAATTCCCAAAAAGAAATTAAAAAAAGCAGCCGGAGTAATTCCGATCATCAGACGGCCAGAATTCCGGTCGAAAACAGCTGACCATTTTTGTACGGCGAGCCTGAGATCTCCAAGCTGCAATTTTCTTTGCGCTCGTCCATCACTATCTGCCGATATCTACATTCCGTGCTGCAAAAACCCTTTTCTCCCCTGCTAAAATGATCAAACTTCAGGATTTTTCCAACATAATTGTAAGCTGTTGGATCAAGATTTGAGATTTCAAGTTTCTTGGATTTGTATAAATTGTGGGTTTTGTAATTAAGTACCTGTACATGTATATATCTTTGCCGGTGAGCTTTTTGTGGCATAGATGGCATGAATTGAGGAAATCTGAGTCTGGGCATGCCGGAGTATCCGCGAATCTCGCCGGAGAAATGGTGAAGACGCTCGGCCGATTACTTCTCGCCGTGTTTCTGTAACTGGAGACCTCGCCGTTGTCGCAGTAGACTCTGGTGTACGTCTTGTTGTCGGCGCCGCGCCGGCATGTGACTATGGTGTACTCTTCTTCCAGGCTGCCGGGTTCAGAGACGACTCTGGCCGGAATCCGGGCTGCGTTCACCGGAATTGGGAGGGACCGTTTCGATTTCCGGCTGTACACAACCATACCGGCCGGAATTTCACCGGATTGTTCAAGGGCAGCTACTATAGCCAGTCCAACCCCGCCAAGATCGTAACTTTTTGGGCATCTTGCTGATTGGACCTTCCTGTCCAAAGGACTTCTTGGGCTGGTTGAACCATCATTGGTAGTGCCGGAAATCGGTACGCCGGCCAGTTTTCCGATCATCGGGTTTAACTTTTTGCCTAGCAACATGGTGGCTAAGAGGGAGGGATTTCTGGTTCTCCTTGGAAGAGTTTTTATGAAAGATGGGATTTTTGGTGGTTTCTCCAAGTCCAAATGGTCAGTGTTGCAGAGGTGTTTTATATGCAATATTGATGGAGTGGTTAGCAAACAGCCCATGGTTCATGTTTGGGAATTATAGAGTCGCCATAGCAAAAAAACAAAACAAATAAATGAATGAATTATTGAAAACTTTATTTTCTATATACGGAGTATGAAATGTACTAATACTCAATTATACTATGCCATAAAATTTTTAAGCTCTATTATATACAAATATAATACTACGTAACTAAAATCATTTCTCAAAGTTTGTTACCATTGATCAAGAAAAGTCAATTTGACAAACCTTTTCGGGACGGAGTAGTACAATTTTAATTATTATACATTCAAACACATGACCCCTCTTTGAAAGATCAAAGTGATGTCATCGGATCACAATGTATTTGTTTTAGAATGTGATAATTAAGACTGAAATTGAATTAATCTGTCAAAGTTATTGAAATTGTTTGAAGTTATATCTGCAACAGTTTAATTTGTTTTTTTCAATAAAATAGATAAGTGTATGGAAAATCTCACATAGCTTTCTTAAGTAAAATTAATCAAAATAATAATGTTAATATTATTTATTTTGGTTGTAACGTAATTTAATGCATAAACTTAAAAATGTAGCTTTTGGTTAAATAGTTGGTTACTGAGCAAAAAGAAAAACATTACAAAACCAACTTCTAATGTTTTAAAATACTTTTTATTGATTATTTATAATAATATAATAAGATATAAAACTATTGTGGCTAGAATGTAAATACGTATAGGCCATTAGAAATGACATTTGATAATACCAAATGTCGAGTAGCTACATTGATAACGTAAATGTTTGATGCCATCTCGTATACTCCATGAGTTCTTGGCATAAATTATTAAATATCCATGCATAAGCCGGAATATTATAATTTAAAAAAAATATATATTTTATTAATATGATGAAGTATACAAGCTTGATTCATTATCCCCATCCTTAAAGCAACTAACAAAAGATCCTCAATCCATTCACAATAAAAATTGTGTTAATTTTTTAATTCTGACTTTGACACTAAAAACATTCGGATCATAAATATTTTACATAAAATAAAAATAAAGATGATCCAACACCTTCTAAACTTAGGTGATTCTCAACTTGTGCGGTCTAGAGAGGAGCTGAGGGGAAATCAACTTGTTTTCTTCTCGTCATCCAATTATATTGATTGGCTTCAATTACGAAAACAATTATGAAAAAGGATTCGTTTAATCACTATTTTCAGTTCTATATATATGTTTATTTCATAGCGTTGTTTAGAGATATTATTTTCGGTGGTGAATTGTCGTCTGCCAAGTGTATATTCCTCATCATCATTGGTCAGGTGTTCCTGTGTGCTAGTAATATATTTCTAGCGTTTCTTCATCAATCATGATTCTGTATTTCTTATGCATTAATATTGAGGCCAATCGCCCCCCTCATGAACCACTGCCGATCCAGAAAAATGGGATTGCATGAATTGCTTTCTTTCCGGTGGTTGGTGAAACCGGAACAATGAGCAGCATGAGCATGAGCAGTCACACTGCAGTACTAGTCTACATCGGGAGATTCAATAGTTCCTTTTCGGTGGCTGGTCAAATCGGATCCATTTTGAGTAGCATGAGCAGTCACACTGCGGTACTAGTCTACATCGTTGCAGGGTTAGCGAACATGAGTGCCTTTATAATTCTTTTTTGTTCTTTGTCTCTCCTTAGTGTAGCTTTGACGCTATGATTGTAATACTTCGCTTTTTGATTGTTATGTTTCTTGATACCCTTATCAATAATATTTAAGTTATTTGTTTTCAAAAAACCGTATGTAGCTTCGCACACCGCACGGGACCACCACAATTATCATTAGATACGTGAAGCCCATCATCACAATGCTCAAAGGCCGACTCACGACACTACTGTATAGGCCGAGCTCATCACCAATAAGCTTTTGACGTGTAGATCAACCATTGGCTATATTTCAATATGTGTGCATATACATTCCGAGAACATGATTATATAAAGTGTTATTGAATTCACTTATTACGTTTTTTGTCTATAATTTTTACTCTAACTTCTCTCTAGAATTAGTAGGGGCATTCGTATAACTATCACTACACTAACAATATTGTACTTTGTACTTCCTTTATCTCGCAAAACTTAGTCAAACTGGATTTGCACGTTGGAGTATGACTAAAATTTATATAGAGCGGAGAGAAATAACTTGAACCACTATCTTTCTTTATATGGCTTAGATCTACCGTTTCAAGTATATATAAGAATTTTCTATTATGAGAGTATTTTCTTCTCTTTTGTGTTTTTTCGTTACTTGCATTTATTAGTGTTGTTGTTAGTTTTTGGTGTATGTATTTGATGAAGTATATTGTCATATACCCTAGGGGTACCAGCATTACGCTAAGAAATCTACGAAATCCAGCCACTAAGGTGCATCCGGCCGAGCCCGAGCCCACCGAGACCGAGCTTATAATTGATTCTCAGATAAGTCCGAAATTGCAGCCGAGGTTGAGGTCGGCCCTCGGTGAGGTTGGTAGCGTTTCCGGTGCAACGACCGAGCTTAGGACCAAATCCGGCATAACCTTTCTCAGATCAATCAGGCAACTCCAGTTATTAATCAGGTCGATGATATGATTCTAGGCTGAAGAAAATAATAATGCGGAATATTATAATAATAGGAAAATTTGATAGTGATAATCCCAACTATTGGCGTTCCGCTCATAATAATCCCAACTATCGATTATTTCAGAATAATCCCAACTTTAGGGACCTTCCGCCAATAATGGTCCGATGTGACTGACTATAAATAAATTCTTATAGTTTCTAAATAGATATAGTAGGTAATCCCTATAAATAATCGCAAATTTTAATTTTTAGACTTGATTTCTATTAAAAATTCACTTGTTAGAGCAAGTAATATGCAGTCATGGACCATTATTGGCGGACCGTCCATATAGTTGGGATTATACACAAATAATCAATAGTTGGGATTATTGTTAGAGGACCGACAATAGTTGGGATTATTATTTTCAATTTTCCCATAATAATATTAAATAATTGTGATAGTATATTAGAGGTCTTGGGCCAGGTACTAGTTAACTTTGGGCTGGCCCATAAGTAAGGGTATACATAGAAGGGAGGGGGAAAGAAGAAGGTAGGCAGAAATTGAAATTAGATTTGGCAGAGGGGACTGCTCGAAGTGTCTCGCCTGTATTTCTTTCGTTTCGTTATCTTCTTTCTCTAATATATACACCCGTTTTACCATCTGGTTGAGGTGCCTATCATTGGTATCAGAGCACTCACGCTCCTGGAGACACAGACCGAATTGGATCATCACCAGAGTACTTATGGGGCAGTGAATGGAGAAATTGGAACTGACTTTTGCTGAGACTTGATCGCGGATAGTCACGAGGATGGCTGAGGCCCAAACGAGTTTGATGGACCTATGTAACCGGCTGAAAGTCCAAAGTCACCGGCGACCTAGAGGACATTCTAGAACCGTGAAGCGTTGTAGGAACTCTAGAAGCACAGGTTCATCAACGTCGATCGTCAATCCTCGCTCACAGTTCTTCGCAAGCAGCATATTCCAGTACGCAAGTGTTGAAGCGAGCAGATGTTTCCAGTTGGCAGACGGTGTCTTCGACACCTTCTCTCAGTTCTCCTCCAAGTGAGACAAGATCGACAAGAGGTTTCAATTCACAAGCTTCTTCGTTCAAAGCTCTACCAGTGTCGCCGCGAACTGATCTGCTTTGTTCGCAGGTTTCATCGCATATTTCTGCTTCTCACATTGCGCAAGTTGAGTCAGCCTTGATCCATCCGCCGTACGTGAGACAGAGACAACTTCCCTCCAAAGGTACGTTCATTGATGGTGATGAGGGATGCGTGGAGGAATCTTCTTTGGTGACTCATTTCTTGAGTATCATAGAACATAAATCTGCTGATGATAAAATAGCTGGTCCAAACACTTGGGAAAGTTCTACAAGGACTGTACATATAGATGACTTTAGCAAAACTGGAGAAAATGTGGAGTATGTGGCGGTTGAAGTTCCGGAGGATCCTACACGAGCTATTTGCTCGTTGATAAGGAGAGGAAAGTACCGAGATGAAGACAAAAGGGGGTGGAAGGAAAAAGGGGAATGTATGAACAAATCTCAGCAATGGGTGGAAGAATTGAAAGGATGGACACCTACCCGTAATGCCGAGGGAGGTACAAACAACCAATTTTTTATTTTAGGCTGTTTGTATAATTTCCAGGTTTGGAATGGGGAAGAACCTGATGGTGTTCATAGCCTAGTTCCCAAGCATGTTGGACCTGTTTCATTTATGCAAACCTTAACCAATTATGGAAAGGAGCTTTGAGGAATCACCAGTTCACACACTGATGTTACTAAGGGACTAATCGAACATGGATGGATAACAAAGATTGAAAAGCATGTGCAAGATTTTGTTCCCCGGTCTGAGTTTGGATTAGATCATGGCTCTAAATTAAACTCAAGTTATTCTGTTGCATCAAAGAGGGAATCAACGGGACATTTTAGTGTCATAAAGAAATTATGGGACTTCTCTGGTAAGACTGAACAGTAAGGTGGCAGTTCTGCTCTTGAAGTTCAATCACTAGAAATGGTGTTGGAACCTTGTTCTGAGAACAAATTTAATACTGGGTGTTTGATTGGATGGTATGCCAGAAGCAAGGCTACAAATGAGAGGAGATTCAGAACTTTGGATGTTCGGAGGTATGCTAGTGTAGTAGACCAAAACTCAGAAGCATTTAAATTTTTGATTGATATAGTTCATGAACCTGAATTGGGTGTTTTATTGGATATTGGGCACAATCATTCATCACACCTGACTTTGAATGAGCTGAATAAGATTGATGGTTTCAGATTTCATAGTGTTACTTCTTTGAAGTATATTCAAAAATGGAATGCGGATAGGACTTACTGGGAATTATAAGAAATATGTTGGTTTACTTGGTTATACACTACGTGTTGACCTCCAGCCTATAATGGAAGGACTTCCAAAGCTTAAATTGCTCTATCCGCATTTTGTGTCTATGTTGAAATATGGTGCCG